GGATCAAGTACATAGGCGATCTTAAGCACGGTGAGAAGAAAGAATAACTTTCCTTTCCAGCGGGTGAAGTTGGTACCATCAAAACGATCAAGTTGAACATTAGGATTGAGGAAAGACGTCATGTTCTTTTCAACCTCCATTGCAGCAAGTTTAAAACCTTAAAGATTGTTGGAGAAAATTCAGATTTTGGATGATGAAAAGAATAGAGAATTCAGAAAGAAGGGTTTGAGGCGTATAGGAATACTTTCCTTTAAGGTTTTATTTGCCCTCACTTCTCAAAGTTTGTTAACGAGTTCTAAATGGCAAATTACCCCCAAGATACAACAAACTCTTGAACACAATATCCAACAAAAATATTGAGTTCCAGAACAATGTATATGTATTTTCTAAAGTCCATCATATAAAGACAGGACGCATCCATCCTCTTAAGTGTTACAACCTTTCACATAAAGATACCTTTTCAATTTGATGGTTATCTTTTATATGCTGATGTACTTATAACAATAGTTATTTCTATTGTTAATAAGTGCTCAGATATGTAAGAAAATATATCACAAATAGATACAATGGTTCGAGACCTTTTCAGATCACTAAAACACACGAACACATTTTCCGTCGAAGATTTACGCTGCAGCGCTCAAACGCGCGCTGCTGTGCGCTGCAGCGCGCGTGCCTAGCAAAACATACCCGAGGGTCTGTTTTGCGCAGGTTGCAGCGCCCAAACGCGCGCTGCTGTGCGCTGCATCGCGCGTGCCTAGCAAAACAGACCCGAGGGTCTGTTTTGCGCAGGCTGCAGCGCCCAAACGCGCTCCAGCGTGTCTGTGCGCTGCAGCGCGCACTCTTTCGCGCTGCAACACGTGCTTGCGTCAGCCTACTCTTCCCGAATGTATTTTAATTCAATTTTGTGATATCAAGATTGAAAAATATATTACAATTTCTCTAACACCCATCTCTCTCTCTCTCTGTCTCTCTCTCTGCTGTCTCTGACACGCACGGAGGAAGAGTGTGCAAGTAGTTGTTTGTTGTTGCGGTTAGTTAAAAGGGTGATATTGATGGTCGCATTGTAAGCATCGGAAGGAGGAATTCAGAGCCCAAAAACAATCAAATCACTCCCTACAAACTTCCATACTCTTTCTACTTAAAACTACTTTTCCAAAGCCTCTCTCTCTCATTCCTTCTTTGGGTTCTTCGATCCCATCGCCCACATTTTCTTGTTCCTTCCACATTCCCGAACCCCCCATAAACTCCAAACCAAACTGCCCTTTTTCCTTTCCCATTCAGTTTCGGATCTGGGTTGGTCTCCATTTTTTCTCCCGATAATAAAATGGTGACCTTTGCCGTGCCGTGCCCAAAAGTGGGGTCTCCATCTGTTGCTCCGGCGGCTCATAATTCCCGTCGATTTCAGCTGCAGAATGCGAGTCCCAGCTCTTCTCTCTCACTTGCGTTTCTTCAGGTAAGCAAAATCTTGTTTTTATGTAACATCAAATCTATGGCCTCTCTAAGAATCCCATGTTTTGCTTTAAACGTTTCGCAGCTTATGAGTTATGATTTGCTTTTTTAACTCCTTTGATTTTTGTTTGTTTGTGTTTACTCTCTTTCTGTATTGTTGATATGGTTCTTTTGTTTTGTTTGTCTAGCTTTTGAGGATAGTACACAAATTGGAAAAACAAAAGTGGTGTATGGAATATGGATATCAGTATATTGCTTGGATGATGTTGTATGCTAAAAGAGCCGGGATTGAAATTGATTCGGCATCATTTGCCTTTAGGAGAAAATGTGAAAAATGAAGGCTTTTATGTTGATTGACCAAGTCAAGTTATAATCATAGTTAATAAAAGACAATAAGAGAAGAATGGTTATTTAAGTGTTCAATAATTTCAATGAAGTGGTACTGAAGAATCTATGGGAGGAGCAGGGTCAAAGTTGATTTTGTATCGCACAATCCGGCTGTTGTTAAGACTGAAGGCATACCATCTTATTATAACTAATACTGTTAAGAATTTTCAATTTCTAACTTTGGTGTGTCATGCTTATTTTCTGCAGGGCCGCAACAGTAGGTTTTCTGCTGTCGGGAAGGTGTCGGCACAGCTAAGTAAGGTAGAGTGTTTTCTATTGGGTTAAATATGTGTACAAGAGATGAATAAAAATTTTAAAAAATGAGTAAAAGTATTAGTGGGACTGAGATAATATCATCTGTATTAATGGAACTATGTTTTAATTCAAGGTTACTGCTTCAAATTCAAATTCTGTACCTATACCCGCCACTAAGTCTCAGGTTGGATCACCGGACGGGAAAGATGAGTCTCCAAAAGAAAGTACGCCACGTAACAATGTTCCAGATCCATCATCAATCTCGGCATTCATGGCTCAAGTATCAGACCTTATCAAGTAAATTACAGTAACTTTTACTTTTATGCACTTGTTTTCTCAATAAACAATCAGGTATCAGAATCTCATACTCATTTGGTTTGGTTTCAATTTGATGAGCAGACTGGTTGATTCAAGAGATATTGTGGAGCTGCAATTGAAGCAATTGGATTGTGAGCTTACATTAAGGAAAAAGGAAGCCTTGGAACCACCACAAGTGCCGATTGTCCCAACGCCGACTCCTCTTCCTCATGCCATGTACCAATCTCCACCACCAGCAGTAGCCCCAGCAGCTACTACAGCTCCTGCAAGCCCTCCTCCTTCATCACCAACGCCGGCATCACCTACCCCTCCAAAGACTAACCAATCATCTCACCCACCTTTGAAATGTCCCATGGCCGGAACCTTTTATAGGTCTTCTGCACCTGGAGAGCCACCATTTGTTAAGGTAATTGTCAATGTTAGTCGGACTATAGTTTAAGCTCATGTCTAAGGCAACACAGAAAATGCTGGGTGAGATCAAAATAGAACTTATGCATACATTGATAAGCGCCTCTCTCTCTCCCTCCCTCCCTCCTCCTTCCCTCTGTGTGTGCACACTTTCATCTTTAAACAAAAACATGCTGACATATATTCCCATGCTTTTTTTCCCCCTCTAAAATCATTTTTCAGGTAGGAGATAAAGTACAGAAAGGTCAGGCTATTTGCATCATTGAAGCCATGAAACTGATGAATGAAATTGAGGTATCTCCTCTTTACGTACTCTGATCTTGTAAGTTGGAAGTTTTATTTCTCTTAGATGAGTTAGCTTCTTCGGTTTCGCTTAGATCCTGACCCCATAATTCAACGACAGAAAAAGAGGATGAAAAATCCCCTGCAATTTTTCACTTGTTGGAAATGGAAGATCACATTCATTGATGTGGTGCAGGAACACCATATTTTACATAATAATGGAGTAAATGGACTCTTTGTTCATTTGGCCTTTTTTTTTATTTTAAACTGGAATAAGCAAATGTACTCTGAGAACTTTTAGAAGTTTTGAAATGTATTACACTGGCAAGTAATCGATTCTCATTCTCTCTCCTTCAGGCTGATCAAACTGGAACCATAGCCGAGATACTGGTGGACGATGGGAAACCAGTTAGTGTTGACACGGTAAAATCTCTCTCTCTTCCTCATGCGCGCACAATCTTTGTGTACTATCAATTTCTGTATCTAAACAAATACTGTTGTCCCGTGCAGCCTCTTTTTGTCATTGTGCCGTGAGTAACATGGCAAGGAACTGTCCAAGCTTGCAGGTGAAAACACCGCTTCTCGAGTTTAATGGCTTTAGTCTACAAGGGTTCTACCAAAACTTACCGTGTTGCAATCTCTATTTTAAGATTATCTTGTATTGGTTCAGGTTTTCCTCATTTTTTTCATAAAACTTTTCATTTTTAAGCTTTAGAGGTTGGCATATAATGCTGAAGTTGTAAGGGATTGAGTAATGTTGAACAGTTGAGACAAGAGGTAATGGTGCATTTCACAGTTTTGAAAAGTCTTATGAAACCTTTTGTTTTGTTTTGTTTTTCATGTCTTGTTGAACCTGCGCAAGAAATGTCACTGAATTCACCGCCTAATTTGAGCGTCTAGACAGAGTTAAATCCAATATTTTCTTAAGAGTTGGACTCCTTTTGAAAAGCAAATGTAAAATCTAATCAATGAATCAAACTACTTGGAGCAAAATGGCTCAAGGCGTAACCGTAAAGTGTGTTTCCATTAAATTAAAGTATAAAGTGTACGGTTTGGTTGTATGACTTTCGATCCGAAAAGCTTGAAACCAAATTGTTCAAAATCCCCTTCGAAACGGCTAGTATCAATACATCCACAGCATTACTTCGTCAATACCAATGTATTAACATTTTAGTTAACAAAACACAGGCCCTCAAGTCGTGCGTGTGGATGTATGTATAGGAATCGAATGCATATATAGTAACAATAATACAGGTACAATTTTGAACAGTGCATAACGCTGAGATCAAAGGATGAGTTCTTTTCCAAAGTGATCTCCAAGAAGCATGTCCAGTTGAGTATCGCTTCCAAAAAGGAAAGCAATGAGAAAGGACCAAAATTTTCATTCGAGGGGCAATCAATATACAAAAGGGATTTCTTTGTTAACCAAAAAATAATGCAATTACTATAATACCAAAATGAATTACCATGACGGAAACATCAAGAGACAACATTGCTCTAATAAGTTCCTCTCCTGTTTCCGAAATTTCTAATCTTCTTATCTTCTTTCCCCCTCCCACCCCACCCCCTACCCCGTATCCTTTTCCTTTCCACCTAAAAGCTGTACAAGGTTAGCCTAGCTATCATATATGTACATCTATAATCGTACCCTACTTCTGGTGTTAACACTTTTCCTCCCACTATTACTTAGTCCACGAACCCCACCCGCATAGTCTTCATCATCATAATCGTCATCATCGTCTCTTCCCGCCATTTGTCCAGCTTTCCGCACTTTTCTGGGAGTAGGACGTTTCCTCTTAATGTTTGCCGTGTACGTCGAGTAATCAACCACATCTTCTTTCAATGCATTCTTGAATTCCTGTATGGCAGCAAAGGCCATTAGCAACATGACTTGCAAAAGCATATAATCAGGGTGGTTCAGTTATGGCTTACACTACCTGATACACTTGTACCAATTCTTGATAAGTTGTTGGCAAGTTCATGCGTGTTTCACTGATGTTGAAGGGAATATTCTGCCTGGAGAGAGCCTCTCCCGCTTTAAGGGGTTCGTTTGGAGAAAAAGCCTGGTTGTGTATAACAACAGGTAAAACAAACTTAGCTCATATCCAGATTGAATTAACTCTCACTGTGAAGTTATGGCCTACCTGGCATCGAGTATCGTTTAGGCCATACACAATCTTCAGGTGCCTCTTTAACTTCAAAAGAAGCTGCAAAGAAATAGCTGATACACAGTCCCCCTGTAGAGCAACAAAGAGAGGAATTTAGAAATGGCAAAGGGTCACCTGGCGACAACAAATAAATATAATAATAAATATAATCTGGATTCCAAGCTCATAAATAAGCCGGCAGTAAGAGAAGATGCCTTACTTTCTTTTTTCCTCAGACAGGCAAATTACTTGGACACACCCAGGTAAACATTTTTCGTGAAGACAACGAACTACTAACCATAAATAAAGGAATAAACTAGGGTTTCAAATCTACCTGGATCATCTGCTCATCATCTTTTGTGATGCAAGAAGAATCCCCCGAGCCTGTAGAATGCACATCACTTAGATCTGAGACAAACTGGTGAGGTGGTTCTGGTTGGACTGTCCCATTTAAATCCACTGATAACATATAATTATGAGATGTAAGCTCCTGTTGAATGCTCATGCCCGTTGAAGTAATCTCACTTGGAATGTGATAAGCAGATTCTTCTTTAATTCTTCCATTCGCACGAGATACCACTCTTTGTGACAGATGTGAACACAGAGCTTTAAGTTTTGCTTCAAGAACACCAGCCCTGACTTGTATTACTCGATTAATAGTGTAGATCAAATAAAGGGGCTCATCAGGAGACGTGAATGGTAGCAAAGCTAGAATTTCGGTGCAGTACCTGTAGAAAGAAACCACGTTTTTAAATTAGTTCACCCAAGCACAAAGGAACTCTAGGGCTTGAACCAACTATTGAACTCACATCAAAAAAGGTACTACGGAAGTGTTCCAACTGGGAGTGTCAAATTTGCGCACAATAGAGGATATAAATTTGTTCCTTGAAACTCGGTTTCCACGAATTAGCTTGTAGATTCGAGAAACTCCTAGCCTTGCTTGAGTCAAAGAGACAACATCAGATTTTCCCTTCATGTTGCCAGGAGGTTTGGATTGGATTTTTGCATTCACGTGTTCAGCACTTGAGCTAATAGATTGTATGAATATAAAAGACATCTGAAGACCATCTCCTAAGCGGCTTTCAAAAAATGCAGGGTACCTATAAAATTGCTGTAGTTAGCCATCACAAGGAAAAAAAGCGATAACACAAGGGAAAGACAAAACAAAAACAAAAACAAAACTTTGAGAGTGGAGTACTTTTCATTCATATTGATGAGCAAATGGTGAGCCAACTTCGAGTTAGCCTCCAGTGGATCTGTCTCTAGTGCTATCAAGTACGGAACACAGGTAATTGGATGAACAAGACCTTGGCGCAGCACAACCTCAACAATCTGCATTCGAATTCATGTAAACTTTATCAGATTCTTCAGCAAAATGTGCATTAAATTACAAAATAATCGATTTTCCATTCAAAATATAATAATGTGAAATCAGTTGCAAGCGAAATTAACAGGATCACGGCACAAACTCTTAATTAAATTTCTTTCACAGGTATACCAAAAATCAAAAATACTTATTTCCAAGTTTTCAGAAAAACAAAATACTGCCCTCGAGCAACAGCTTCACATTGTCTCACTGAAAAGAGCATAACCAGGAACAAATACAGAGTTCAGGTCATTACCTTAAGGGCGGATTGGCGAATTTGTTCATTGACATCCAAACATCTTCCCAGAATGTTATCCCAATACAACTGAATTATACCACCACAGATATTAGTATCTCCTGCACCAGCAGCAACAGGTACTGCCTGACCCCCTTCTACGGCATAATGAATCTCACTGTTACTTGCTTCATCTGTTCCCATTTGACTTTCCGCATCAAGAAGATACTCGTACATGTTTTGCAATGCTTGCATCTGATCAATACAATGACTTAGAAATGAAATAACCACTTTATTATAAATTAAGAAAAGAATAAAATATTACCTTAATACGGTCATCAGAACCCGATGATAGCGTCACCTCTAACAATTTTCCAATATCTTTTTCCAACATATATTCAGGCCTAGCAATTAGAACAAAGCCTAATGCCTACACAAAGAAGAGGTAAAATAAGCATAGTCCAAAAAATTAAACCAGGTAATAGATATGAGAGAGAAGCAGAGAAAAAAACAATAATAATGAGAAAGGGGAAAGGCAGCTCACCTGCAATGATCTGGCCTTTATTGCAAAATCATCCATCTGAAGATACTTTTTAAATAAGTTGATACTGCTCACAATGTCAATTTTTCTCTCACTGGAGTTATTAAGCAAAGAGTTGCCATACCGGATAAGTGATCCAAGACAAAAAAGAGACCGACCAATACTGACTTGCTGAGATAAGAATAGTTCCAATTTTGGTCACAATCCATGCCTTATTGTTATATATGTATATGTGCGTGCGAATCAAAGATATGAATTCAAAACAGACATTGCCAGAGTATATTCAACATTCCATCCTTTCTACTACTGAGACATATCTTTATGCCAGCAATAAGAAACTCCTAACATATCAAAGTCCAGTGCAAGTCAACTGTAAAAGAAGTAGAAGAATTCTATGCCAATCCGCAGAAATGCAAAATACTAAACCAATCGGCTATAACTGACCTGTAGCAGCTACCCCCACCCACAATCAAAAGTTAAGTGAGATAGTAAGCAGGACCAACAACAAAACTCTGTCGATTTTAGTTCATAAGATAAAAAGGAACAGCCTGATTTTGTGTACAGTAAATGCCATATCAGAGTGGTGAAATCGTAATTCAGTCATAGACATTGCAATGCTACCACAATAGTAAAATATTTAAGTTATCTAATAATCAAGTCCACGTGTGCACGAAAACAAAATATATAGTTGCAAAGCCTAAATTTAAGCATAGACATTGCAAAGCAACCAAAATGGTTAGAACTTTTCTTTATTCTCTTAGCTAGAAACCAACCTGCTTGTTATCAACAGCCTGAGCATCCAAAAGTTTGAAGAAAACCTGAATAAGATGCTCAACTACAGTACCACCTTTTCCAGCAACTTTGCTCACAGCACAAAGGCATCTGTTAGAAGGGGGAAAATTAGAGGTAAGACATTTGAACATCATCAAATCAACAATGATACTTCCTGACTGCTAGGACTCCTAGAAACACACACACCCACACCCCATAAAACCAACCACGTTAAATGTAAAATTACAGCTAAATGATATCTTTTATTTATTTATTTACTTATTTATTCATTATTTATTATTATTATTGTTATTATTATTATTATTATTATTGTTCTCATTCTCAAAACCAAGATGATATCTGCAAAACATCAAATTTTAAAACTTCATACTAACATGCCTGTGTGGATTGCAATGTAAATACTATACTATTTGGGAATGTATATATAGATGATATCATCATAAAAGTAATGACAATTTTGAATGAAAGCGTTATACAATCAATTCAAAGACGTAACATAAAAGTAAAATTTAACAAAGAGGCTGAGCTCTAACTGCCCTGTGTGTAGCTGTTGCATATCCCTATGTGCAGGTATGATCATAATGAAGAAACTTAGAACCAAACTACATATAAACATATATAGACATGCTCATAAAATATTCATATAACACTTGAAAGATGTAATCACCTGCACGAGAGCACTTACAGTTCTGTATCAAGTTTCAAGTGAGCATCATAAAACCTCATAATATTGGAGGTAGCAAAAAACACAGGTAAAACAGCAAAAGAAGAAGAGAAGCAAAGAAACTGAAGTTACTTGATGCATGCATGGACAACGGTCAAGAAGGAATGC